TGACTGCACCAACACCATTGGCTAATCTCTAGTGTGACCAATCAATGTTCCATGAATGTCGTCAGGCTCTCATCAGTATCATTTATGAATTTAAATGAAACAAGAATACTTGATTTTATGCAATACGATGAATTAAATGCATCTGATTTGCGTTCTCATCAACTGTGAAAAAAACACTTAAGAAGGTTAACAAGATTAAAAGAGATGTGACTCATCAGTGCTTTGAAAACTCATCTTCATATCCCACTTCACGTATGAAGTCAATCATGCCTGCAGAGGAGCGTAATCAGTATCCACGCAATAAGTGTGATTCATTGCCTAATTGATAGATTAAGAACCTGCTCCATGAAACTGAATTTTAACCAAATAACTAACAATTTTAATCAGCTATATTCATATAAAAAGATCAGTTACAAAAATAACACAATACAGGTAAATGTTTTCTGTCTTATAAATTGTTTGGAGGATTTAATCATGAGCTGACATCAGTTAGAGAACCACTGGAAAACCTGGGAGTACTGGACAGCTGTTTCGTCCTAGTTTGGGACTCCTCAGCAGAAGGTACTGGGTTCGAGCCCTAGCGGTGGGTGCGTACTGATGAAGAGTCCCAAACTAGGACGAAAGAGCTGTCCAGTACTCCCAGGTTTTCCAGTGGTTCTCTAACTGATGTCAGCTCATGATTAAATCCTCCATACAATCAAACCAAATCCCTACAAAACCAACACTAATAAACTGTTCACATTATTTTACAGTAATGTTACTACTATTCCATTGAATTCTTCTACAATCTTTGCCTTCTTTATCTCTACTTATTTATTCATGGCCAATTATATTATTGGAACTGTTTTGAGTTTAATTAAAACGGAAAATTAGTAGTAGTAGTAATAATAATAATAACAGGCACCACTAGACGTGGCATAAAAGATAAAAAATGAAACGATGATATAAAGACAAGGTAAATAAAATACTTGAAGAACAGGCGAATAAGAAAAACAGTTAAATATGCTCATCAAGAGAACTTGTGAATTCCTATTACTGAAGTTTGCTGCCTATTGACTTCGATTCTGAAGAGCATCTCCATAACTCATAGGGACAATCGTGGTGGACCAAAAGACACTAGACCAATACAACTATTCTTCATCCTAAAATTTCATCATAAGCTGACCATTTCAGGAATCACAGAGCATATGGTATGAAAGCCTCTGGGACGACACTTGTAACACATGTTCGAGTCAACAATGGCACCGATTATTGAAGGATCTTTTCCATCGTACTCATGGATCTGAGGCTTAAATACATGCTAGTGTCATTAAATGCAAATAATTTTACAGAGACAGCGGTACCGAACACATACACTAGACATATATCTTCAGTTCTAATAGGCCAGGTTTAACAGGCGCAGAAAAAGACTGCAATCACGACCAAACTAACATCGCGATAGATTCTCCATGGAGCCGAACCACTTAGAGTAAACTTATCCACGTGAATCAGAAAGAACAGTTACGTTTTGTGTGTACTTACAGAAATGTGTGAGAGACTATTACTTCGAAGCTGCCCACAACGTGGAGATTGATTTCTTTTTCGAGTACCTCGAACAGAAGGAGTATTACTGTTAAGTGACCGCAGAGACCACGGGAGTAGTGCTTGACGCCGATCACAGACAGACTGTTTGAAGTGGTTTTTTTGGAGTTTTTTCCGCATTTAGATCTTACCGCTAGGTACAGATCGATTCTAAGTGAGTTCGAATGTACAATTTTCAGAGTCCACCTCTTCCAATCCCCTCTCCAGAGTGGAGAGGTGACATATCTGGTTTGCAGGTCATCTAAAGGAAACACCTTGCTGATGTTATATCCATATTCTCCAGTAGTACAACTCCGTCCACAGGCCCCACAACATAGTGTAACTAACTTACATCATGACAGTAACTGCTTTCAGCCTACCCTCCATCCAAACAATCTCCCTGATATGGTACAACCTACAGGAACATTAGTTCAAGTCACCGTAGCTTACATGGAGGATTTAATCATCAGCTGACATCAGTTAGAGAACCATTGGAAAACCTGGGAGTACTGGACAGCTGTTCCGTCCTAGTTTGGGACTCCTCATCAGTACGCACCCACCAGGGTTCGAACCCAGGACCTTCTGGTTACAAGGCGAGCTCGTAGACCATTGAGCCACTGGAACCCGATCCAATGGTTTTTGAACGGTGGGTGCATACTGATGAGGAGTCCCAAACTAGGACGAAACAGCTGTCCAGTACTCCCAGGTTTTCCAGTGGTTCTCTAACTAATGTCAGTTCACCATAGCTTGTTGGATGATCATTAAGATATGCAAGCCACAATTTGGGACATGAATTAAACAAACACTCAACGAGAACTAGTGGTAATGTAACTCTTCAATAGTATAAACAACCCTGCTCTATGGACAACATATTCAGACAATGAAGAATGGTGGCTAACATTCACAATGATCAACAAATATAACAGTTAACCAACGGAATTAAACTCTATAAAATATAAAAAGCTCGAAAACTAAGTCGTGATTTCATAACTGGTTATTTGGACGTATAAACTTAAATTTAGAAGTACACGCAGGCATCATGTGAAAGTTTCGTATATATATATATATATGTTTTGAAAAGTTAGTCGCCTATATATAAGGTGTATATATACAGTGTCTGTGTGTGTGAGTGAGAGAGATATTACACACTAGTCCAATGTCTCAGTTATAGAACCAAACACAATGGCATAATAAAATCCGACATAATGCAGATAGATATCTTAATTAGTTAATCGAAAGATTATTTATATAATAGACAGTCTATATCCAGTATACATTGTATCTGAATGTAAACCTTAAAAATGTACTTTTTTTAATATTTAGCCAAAATAATTATTGGCCTTATGTAGTGTTTGAATGAAATCGTAATCGTCTAGACTGACTGAACTTGGTGCGCCTACCTACCTACCTACGTAGGGCTGTACTGGTGTTCATCGACAATGCTGTAAATATAAACTCTTTCAAAACATAACTTATCACAATAATGATAATATTTGCGAAAATTCAAACAGTTATTGAGCTAATGAGTCCATATGTGAATAACAGTCGAAAATGGCAATGGCCTAAAGGTTTGCGCCTACTACTGACGGTTAACACCTAAGTTCATCCATGATAACATCACTGATAGGTAGCATTCAGGAAACTTCGTCTACTAAAATAGCATTGATCAATAGTACAAGCATTTCTAAACAAAAAATAATAACACTATTGTTTTTATAACCGTAGACTATTTGCCAGGGGTGTAATTTAGAAAAGTGTTTTGAAGTCAACTTGCCTTTATTATGTAGATTAACACAGTAGTGTTATTTGTCAAATCATAACTATACACTGAGCACCTGGAAATTTTCTATTGTTTCTTTATGAGAAAATCAGAAACAATAACTAAACAACTAAACCTGGTAACCCAGTAGATAAAGCAATAGTGTTTGAAACGATGAATACTGGATTCGAGTATCATAGGGAACCCCATCACTTACTAGAGATGTAAATGCATCCAGATGAAAAGTTCCAAAAAGTTCCAGGACCCCACCATCAACCAAAATAACATCACATTATTCTTCAAACCTCATCGAAGCGTCGGTACCAGGAGCCGACATGTCAACAGAAGCTGAGTATTTCGGCCTAGCATAATTTTATAATCACGTGTCTGTTCAGTACTTAGAGATTGACTTGCTGAGACCATTTTTGATGCTCTTCAGCAGCACATGTTCAAAAACAATCTAAGACAAGCTCTTTTCTTGTTTTATTTTTCGATTTAACTTCTACCAAAGGTACACATGAATCAATGTCTCTTCAATTGTAGGGGTAACATGTGATAGATACGGGTTGGCTTTTAATTGTTTCAATGAACAAGATGTTAGAAGCATAACCACACCTGACATTAACTTTAGTCAATGGTGTGCTCTTAATCTTTTGTTTAACTGAAATAATAACAACTTACAACCACTACGCAAGAGATGACTCTTATGGTTCAGCTGGATAACGCTTTGGCGTTCGACACGATAGGTGCTAGGTTTGAGTCTCAGCGGCAACATCTTCACTCACTTGAGATTCAAATACGCTCAAACTGACAAGTCCCAAAAGGACGATACGAGCATTCTGCCCCCCCCCCCCCAACTGCTAGTCAACATGAACCAAGAAAATTAAATTATTCATCAAACTTAAGTAAGAAATGGTAGTTCCCAGTCCAGACATAATATATATAACTACTTTGCTTGGATAAATACTATTTTTATGTCACCAGTTACTAAGAGATTCGTAAAATTTAGCTGTCCATCACTGAGTGATGACATGGATAACGAATACCCTATTAGTCCGAAGATTATGAACAACTTATGGCATTACGTCAAAGTGTTGAAGAATCTCTACAAGAAGAAAGGTCAGATGTTTCTTTCTTACCCTATATTAAGGTCAGTTCATCTGGAATAATATGTACATTTTCCACCACGATGCATAAAAGAGAAAACATTTAGATAGGGTTCACAAGACCTATAAGGCCTATAAAACCTTTCTGTAGATATTTTTTAGACGTTACGAATAATTACAAAAACCTAAGTGGAGATTCACACGTTACACATTTAATAGTTTAAAGTATTTGAGATTATCGGGTAAATGATATTCATGACTATAAAAGTTTTTTTTTTAATTTCCCAATGAATAATGAAAAACAAAACAATAGTGTATTTAGTGAAGCTTCGCTACTTAGCGCTAATAGCTCAATCAGAGTAATACTAAACCAGCTGGGTAAGATCTAGGAGTGCATCGGCCGAATACCGAATCCAAATTACCCGCAAGACTGGCAAGCACATTCCACTGCCTAACTACTGATGATGCACATAATCCACACAATGGCTTACAGTATAAAATTATTAATATGACTTTTAGTATAATTATTGGAATGAATACTCAATATTTATCCAAAATACTAAAAACCAACATACCTTTTTGTTCATTTAAATTGGTTTTTATAGCCGCTTCAAGTTGTGTTATATCATGTTGCAATTGTTGTATCTTAGAGGCTGTTAGTACAGAATCAATTGGACTAGCAGAATCATCGGAAGTGGTACTGACGCCGCCCCCATCAGTACTAGTACCAGCAGTAGAACCCCCACCATCAGCAGCCTCAGACATGGAAGATGATGATGATAACGGTGAGATTAATGTCTGAGGATTACTGATAAGTGTACATTCCTCCGTTGACTTATTCACATCATCTCCATTCACATTGATAAACGATTGTGGAATATCATTTGCCTAACCAAGAGAATAAAATAACACAAGATAATAGTAATACAAATAAATTAATTGTTTTTAAAAAAAATTCAATTTTGATTCTCCTATTGACTGATTGGACAGAAATGTCTGGCCTCTGGTGACATGTCACCTCCTTGTGCAGATGCTTCGACAGTGTGTCTGAGGATTAACTTGAAATAATTTTGGTGGATGATGACTAACAGTGAAATCCTTAGGATGCTAATTTCGTCCTACTTCGGACTCGTTAACTGAGTGTACCTGTATCAGCCAGTGAGTGATGATCTTCCCACTGCGGTTCAAACCCAGTAGTCATCGTTTCAAATGCCAGTGTTGTCCACTAGACCACAAGAACCAAAAATGAATTAAAAATAAATTAAACTGACACCCGTTGAAGAAGAGATGGCTTTTGTGGTCCAAGAAGTCTAATGGATAGGGCTTTCGCTTTTGAAACTATGGCTACTGGGTTCGAGCCTCAGTGAGAAGACCATCACTCAATGGAGAATGCAGGTACATCCAGTTGACGAATCCCGAATAGGACGAATTGAGCATCCTAGAGATTCCACTGCTAGTCACTATCCTCCATATTACAAATAACTTGATTAAGGAATGCATTAGTAACATTTGACACTTTATTTAAAAAGAAAAATCTATATTGTGCGTCGGTGGAACAGTGGTTAGTACTCTCGCCAACCGTACACATGGTTCGGGGTTCGATCCCCTGCCGACGCACAACTGATATCTATGGTCAGCCTGCAAAATTTGGGCTACCGACACCGCATGAAGAAAATTCCATACATATACCAAAAAATACGGTGTGGAATCAAGCTATAATCAAAAATAAAAATAAGCATTTGAATTGGCATTAAGGAGAAAATTCTTTCAAGCATAGATTAAAAGAGATTTGATGAAAACACATGTTACTGAATTATATTATTTTTTTTAAATAATATTTTTAATAGGCATTGAATATTGAATTTACCATATCATAAGAAAATGCATAAAAGTATGCATTCATACCACCATTAATATGATTATTATTATCGATAGTTATCAAAATAGGAGTATTAGTAGTCGTGGTAGTAATGCTTCGAGTGACTATTTCTACCTCCATTACACTATTACAGTAAAGCAAAGATAGATATTGATATGAATGTATATTCCTCTTGTATACATTATATATGTTATGTTGCTTTATTTAACTGAACAATAATAATACTCAGAGTAATCCACAGACTGTTACAACTTTAATTCCTTCCATTTTTTCAGACATTTTATATAGACAAAATAAGAGAATATGGTTCTCATTTAAGATCTGTGTTACTACAGTTATCTGTACGCGTATTGCGTGTGTGTATATATATACATATAAAGCAAAGGCGTAACACAGACCTACACTATTAGATTCATGTGTACATGTTTGTATTTATGACCTTCCGACACATAAGCACAATTCATTCGACAAAGAACAGTCTGTTATCTATTGTTATTGTTGTTTTTGTTTTATAATCATTATTATTATTATTATTATTATTTATCAGTATCACAACAACAACTATCGTATCTCATTACCAGGTAAAATATTAAATTCGATTGTAACTGTAATATGAACGAAATTTAATGAGTTATCGAATAACTTTATACATACTGGATACAATAAATGAAGGCGTATACAAGTGATTATACAATGTATTGTTTGTCAGCCTGTGTGTTAATGTGTCTGTGTGTGCGCATGCGTCACACTAACACAATGATCATATAATTATATACATACACACACACACACACAATAATTTTTATCACAAACTCCAATGATATATATATAGAATGAATGGATATACACAACTTCATTGGTAGAAAACTGATAAGTATACCGACCATAAATAGAATTACATAATGTCCTGCGAAAAAGTGTAAGTGGTTCTATCATCAAAACAACCAATAACCGATCGAGAATCAATTTGGAAGTGTGATTACAAACTGAAGTCAGTTAGAGAATCATTGAAAACCAGCAACAAGTACTAGACAGTTGTTTCATTCTTGTTTGGGACTACTCTTCAGTGGTTCGCAGTGGTCTTGACCCCATTGCCTTCATGTTACGAAGCGAGCTCCATGAGCATTTTGTGACTGAGATGGAATCAAATGATCCATCAATTCTTAATTTTTTCCGACTCGTGATATACAATGTGATCACCAACCAGTCAACGTCATCGGTAAGAATTTTTCCACATGCTCAATTATGTGGACGCCACTGATCACGGCTTCCCATTAGAACTTCAGGAGACTTCTTACCGTAGTCTGTCACTAGTGAAGACTAGATGAATATTACTCTCTGATTTTCAATAGTTCTCTAAATGAGGTCAGTTCGTCATCTATTTTGATTTTTTTTTATTTTTATTTACAGCTTGATTCCACACCGTATTTTTGGTACAAGTATGGAATTTTCAGCATGGATATCGGTAGCCCAAATTTCGCAGGCCGACCATAGATATTAGGTGTGCGCCGGCAGGGGATCGAACGTCGGACCATGTGCATGGTCGGCGAGAGTCCTAATCACTGTGCCACCGACGCACACAAGCTTGAAAAAATCAATCAAATCTCTTTAAACCAACATTTAAGAATCAATAATCTACACCAGTAAAACACCATTACTCAGATTTATTTCACTCTGTTGGGAGGGGAGGGGGGAGTATGAGGCTTGCTCACCAATACCAGTCAATAGGATATGCCCTATGTTGAGGAAAATGATAAGGATGGCTAAATAAACAAAGCATGACATCAGTTTACGAACTCTTTACTTGTTGGTCTAGTACCAATAGGCAAGCAAGTGGCCGTTGAGGCATTAACGATCAGATAAGATAGTGTGGCTTTTGTATACCATTTATAGGGATGAAAGTGTATTCATTCCATTTATATATATATATATATATATATATATATATATTATTCCCTTGCGTTCCGAGTGGAACATAGGGCTTCAGCAACACATCTCCACTTTGTTCTATTTTCTGTCCATACTCTCACTTCCTCCACCTTGCAAGATCTCCTTGACATTACCGTAGGATGACCCACTCGTCGCTTCCCATTCGGATTCCACTCGACGATCTGGCACGATACTTGTATTTAGGTTAATTCTATATTTTCCGTTGACTAATTATGTTGAACTGAAATGTTCCATCTGTGTTGACATATTATCGTCTACAAAATAATATCATATTAATCCTCACACACAGTCAGAGTTAGTAAAAGGAGTTCGAGTCCCAGTGCAAATGCTATCATTCACTGAGGATTACAGCTACACTCAGATGACGAGTACCAGACAGGTCGAAATGCACCGAGTGGATTCCACTGCTTATCACCAATCATCAAATTATACCTAGTGTAGTACAGACTGCAACAAGAACACCCCCTCCCCTCCAACAGCCCCAATGGTTTCAAGTAACAATAGACTTTAAAAGATAACTTTTAGTTATAAAAGGGAGATGCATGAAAAATTATTTTTCTCTCTATAAGCAAGAATCTTAGTTTTGGCAAACACATATTGACGTAATAGGATGATATTTAAAATAAAAAAGATTGTGTTTTGCTATTCGATTAACTGGGTTTAGAGGTCCATATTAATCCACAATCCGACATTTTTAATATTTCTGTTGAGGTTCATATATATATATATATATATATATATATATATATATATATATGCATACTTAAACAATATAGAACCAATTGTCCGTTATATAACAAAACACAAAAACACTAGAACAAAGCCAGAAGAAACATTTCACTCGATTACGACACACTGTATACTAAAAGTCAGATGATGAAATCATATCAACTAGGAGACAACTGAAAGCCGGGACCAACTGGACATATGCTTCGTTTCTGTTTGGGATTCTTCAGCACTACGAACCCATGACTCCATTAAACGTCGTACCCAGGACCTTCAGGTTGCGAGGTGAACCTTTTGATCATTAGGTCACTAGGATGGAATTCAATGGTTTGCGAAGTTTAACTACGGTCGATTTGCAGAGTATAACATAAAGGTGGAAACCAACATCCTCAAAAATGACTTGATGAACCCGACTTGGTTACGACTTCTCATTACAACTCTAAGAATTCCACCCCAAGGTCAATCACTAGTGAGTACTAGATCCTCGGTGGAGTCATAGATGTGTCTTAAACTAACATGAAAAAGCTCTCCAGTAATTCCTAGTATTTAGTGATTCTCGAACTAGTGTGTTATTTTGTGGTCTAGTTTGAAATCAATCGAATCTCTTTACATTGACATTTGAAAACAATATAAATTAATTTATATTTTAGCATTAATCGTTTCAGTCCAAAATGAATGTTATTATTCTTCAGAATTATAAATAAATATATGTTATATTTGTTTTTTCATGAAGTTAAACTATTTTTCTCATATAACTGTCAATATTCCTGCAAAAGAAATGAATGCATTCTTTTTTACATATAAATAACTGTGTGTATTACTTAACGAGAGAATTCAGGTAATATTTAGGGAAAAGGTTAGTATGAGGACGATATTATCCTTCTGAGAGAAAACTTAGGTAAAATTCAGTCTTTGTAACATCTTAAGCGAACAAGTAAGAATGTCTGGGATATGATTAGTCCATATCAAACATAATATGGTACTGGAATACTAATCTATACTGGCTTGTAATTTAAATTTCACCCCCCCCCCTATATCCTACTTCACGACTGTGAGATATGGCCTCTGAAAGTGGAAGATATAGAAAGATCGGAGGTTTTTGACTATAAATGCTTCAGTTCAATCTCTCGTGATGGGCGCAAGAATATATAGTCATAGTTAACAAGGTTAGGCGGAGAGTATAAAGTAAGGAGAAAAATCTATTGATAATGTTACAAAGCCTTACCGATCGATGTGACTCGGGCATTTGCTACGCCCATCAAGACATCACCTTCCTATAATGGCTGATATAGAATTAGGTTCGAAAAAAGTTAGAGTTGATGAAGTGAAAATG